ATAGTTCTTGACAAGACTGATCATCGATGTTATACCAGACCGTTCAGGAACTTTATAACGAACTGCTTTCAATTTTCACCTTTTGAGCGTTACACAAGATTTTCTTTAGTAATTCTTGGTACCTAGTATAATTTTACAACCTTCAGGTTTAAGACAACAAATAAAGCTGTAATCGTAGTTTTATCATTTAGGCCGTTTTTAGATAATGAGCCCAATGCCTTGTCTGGCATATTAATTGCTATAGTATGTACAAGGGAAACAATACTATCTTATATACTGAATGAGGCTCAGAATTAATTCAATTTGATCTAAATTGTTGTTTGATTTGAATGCACCCAAAACTTATATAAATAAATGTATAGAAATTTTAAGAGAGTCTACAAGTCACACGATAGCATCACTGTTGACAATTGTTACCTTCTAAATAACATAATAAACTAATACTGTATAAACTAATAAACCAATTAACTATATCATAAAAGTTTTCTACGCTAGTGATGTTTTAAACATGATATTTTCAGCTTTACAATAAAAAAAGAAAATATAATTCTCAAGCTGTGAATGTAAGTACATGATTAATATTAAATCAGTACCGAAACATTTTTTTATTTAAACATTCAATTAGTTGACTCAAAAATTAAAAAAAAACCTTATATACTCCGAAAATCGGTTTATTATAAATATATCATTTCCTCTGATCTAAATGGGGCTTATAAAATTTGTAGACAATAAAATATATATGAAATAAGTCAGTTTTATACTACGCTTAGGCGTTAAGTCAACTTTGACATATTTTATAATAGATATAGAACGACATAAATTGTGAAAATTAATATTCATTCTTTATTTGAAGAGATTTCGAGTTAATTACTTTTTTGTAAATTTAATTTATTTTAAACAATTTTTTATTCAATTTACTGTTTTTACTTTTACTAATAGCATCATTTTTTATATTTTTCTGAAGTCTAAAAGCAGCCTAAAGCCAAATAAAAAATTAAAATATTTGAGTACATACTTCTAACAGATACTATCCTCATTGCACCATTCAATATTATACAAAAAAAAATATTACGAAAATATTGCTTCGCATAAAATAAACATTATTAATTTTTTTCCTAATTAATATAATCAACACTTTCTCAAACTTAAGATACACTTTGTGTTAAAAATCTAAGTTGGTCAACGCGGGTAAAGCAACTGAGAAAACATTATGAAATTGTTTACATTTTTGCTAAAATTTATGATGCCGTAGTCATTACTAATGAGATTGGTGTTGGCGTTAATTATATTAATAGTTAAGCATTTAGGTTATAAACAGAAATTAGAATAAAAGTTCAAAAACATAAATTTAAATTGAAATTTATATTAGATTTCACACCCATTACTTTCACCTTCATCTCCCTCAATTTTAGACAAAGAACAATAAAAATATTTTTTTATTTTTATTGCTAGTAAAAGTTGACAAATTTTATTAGTAACTTAAGAAAAAAAACTGAGATACTTAAATGAGCAACAGAAAAGTGTCAAAGACAGTTACAGTGTATGGCGCATTTTTTAGTTATTTTGTTTTTTTTTGCTGCTGTTAGAAAGCAATTTGACTTTTACTTTTTTAAGCATGTAAACTAAGTTGAGAACATACAGCTTGTGGGCTTGAAGTGAAGGGGTTTACTTTGTAATTGATAACAATTCAATTAAGTAAATTAATTCCTGTGCTCTGTGACATTTTCAATGTATGACTATAGACTGCATATATCCCATGTTAACAAAATATTTAAGTATACACACCTATAAGATAAAAACGACTTTTTAAAAATTGATAGTTTTAAAGAGGACATGTATTTATAATAACATTAGTTACAAAGGTAGATCATTTACCAACTTAACCTAAAATTTGAGAGCAATTCATTGCTTTTAGTGTAACAACATATTTGTACAATCGATGCAAGAATAAGAATTGAACAAACAAAAGTGTAATAACAATAAATATTTATTTTTGAAAAGTTCTGTTATATTTGGATTCCATCTTATATTACTTTTCAGATTACCGAAAGGGTAATTCTTAGCAGATTAAATGCTGTAGTGGCTTCACGCAATATACTCCCTGACGAACGGCCCAAATGATCCAAACAGCTCTAAGTAAAAGAGAGTCGACTGGAATGATTATTTTTAATAATTTTTTGTTGCTTTTGACAAGGTCTGGCATGATGGCCTGATAGTAAAAATGTCTCATCTAGGTGTTCCAGGCAGACTAACTAAGATCATCGGCAGCTTCCTACGTGGGAGGTCCTTTCGCACGAAAATTAATCTCTCGTAAGTCCGATCTATAGAAGCAGGGGTTTCTCAGGGATCGCCACTTTCCCCCACTCTTTACAACATTTATACGTCTGATATTTCAATCTTAGGTCCCTCGACTCTGGCGTTATATGCTGACGATACGTGTGTGCTGTACTCAGATATATGTGCTCTCAAGCTTCAAAGCTTCAAACACTACTATTCGCCAGCTAGAAATTGCACAAAGTCAGGCTCTGAAAAGATTTTTCAAAGCACCATGGTACATTAGAACGAATGACATCCTCAGGGACCCCAAGATTGATCCAATCAAAAAATACATAAAGGATAGAGCCCTGAAACTATTTGCGAAAACTGACAGACTTACCAACACCGCGTTATCAAACCTCGGAATGGTTACAGGTTCCTCGGGGAGGTATGCAGATCTGAGGTCAATTAATGCTTAGTCTGATGAAGTGATAAACAATAATCGGTCAAGGCGTTAAAAGGGGGTTTGAAAATACCTCGAGTTAAGAAAGAGTAAAAGTGCTCAAGTGCACTGGATCAATTCAACTAATTGTATTTAAGAATATAAATAATTGCATATAAACTTTAAAAACTGTGTCGTTGCATTTATTATCAAATTTTAAAGTAAATGAAGGGTTGAAATAATTTTATATACAACATATGTTATTTTTTATAGAATTTAAATTTCTAGACATATTTCAAGAAATATTTTCTGATTTTATATTTATTTAGCTAAGAAATAAAATTCTGTTGTTAATCAATATTCTAAGATTATACCTCTTTGAAATAAGAAAAATTTCTGCATAATTATTTGGCGGCATAGTAAATAAAAGTCTACTGGTAAGTTTACAGAGCTACGATAGTTACAAATATAAGTAAAGTATAAATGAATAAAAACTAACTTCTACCGAACATTCACAGACATCTCACCTCATAATCATAAATCACCTTATAAATCACAAGGTAATAAGGAAATAATAATATTATAATTAACATGTCTTGTGAGGCTGAAGACGTTTTTTGTGACGCTACCTATAGAAATTTCGTTTTATTTTTTTTTTGTTCATTATCTATACCAGTAGAATGCAATAACTGTGTAACCAATAAATCATTGAACAGTTATTAGTACAAGGCTCACTATATTGTTATTGTAATAAATAACATAATAAAAATAAATTCAAATAAATTTATTCATATATTTAAAGTTTAAGTATTTATTAGCGCTCATTTTATAGGATCAATACCAGACAGTGAACGTCAGCTATTTAAATGAACATAATTCATTTAAATCAACCATCAAAAATGTAATTACTTAAGTAGAGTTACTATCTTGTTGACATAAACTTCGCAGAAATAATTGTGTTTCAACTTAAAATAGTTATACTTCCTTCTGTTTCAATAATTCAATTGGCTAGGATGCAAATTCAATTTAATATTACGAACAATTAACTTTCATAATTAACAATTACGTACAGTACGCAACACAATATCGTTGTTGTTACAAATTTTTTTATTTTGTATATAGTGTTTGCATGTGCCTTGTTGCTTTTTGTTTTCTCGTGCCTGTTGAGCACACTTGTCTTCAATTCAACTCAAATGTGTAAATTAGACAGTAAAAAAGAAAAAAATAAAATATAATAAACAACGATACACGTGATAATGCCAACAGTAACGATTATTACTTATGTTTGGTTCATCTCAAACATTAAGAACAATTGTTCATGTGTTTATGATGACGTTGACTTTATAGTCTTGTTGACTATAATCCGCATCACTACTATTTCCTTTAGAAGATCTATTTAGATCTCTTTATTTTCTATTTGAGAATATCTCATCTTGTTCATTAGGTACTCATAAATAGAGAATATTCTACATCTATCATCGTCTGATTTTTTTTCTTCCCCAGATTTCAGAAAAACGAACTACTACCATTATCGTCCATTAAAAATAATAAATACAAATAATACAAGAAAAGTGAAACATGAAACGAGGAAGAGACAATAATTTTTTAAATATTATATATATTTTTATTAATATTAAAAAAAAAATTAAAAACTCACCTCATTTGAGCTTTCAGCCTTGTTGGCATCCTTAGCTTCATCATTTTTCTTAGGTTTTGTTTCGTTATTTTGTTTACTTTTATTTAAATTATTTTTCTTTGGTTTAATTAATTTCGTTTTGTTCGTTGAAGTTTTCGTCGTTAAATTTTTACTTTTTGTTTCATTCAATGGTTTTGTTTGTAGAACTTGTAATTCCTTTTTAAGGTGCCCAATATTTCGTTCCTTGGTTTTTAATTCCTCTAGCTGCAAACATAAAAAAATATATTAACATAAAAATAAAATTGCTTTATTCTTAAAACTATGCTTATATAAAAATCGTATAATCTGTATATTTCTTTTTACGGAGAATGTTTGATAAATCCATGGTAAGTAGGAGTCGATTTTTTTTAGTATCTCTTAACACATCACTCAATATGTTCTTAAAGTGTTTAATAATACAAAAACTTAACTCAGCAAGAGTGACACATTCATTTACATTACATTCTCTAACATTTCCTTTTTTTTTTTTTTTGTAGAACGATATATTTTTTCCTTTGAAATAAGTTTCAATTTCAGCTAACATTTTCTACATTGAACCAAGTCTTATTCTTTGGAGAATTCATTCTCTACAGTTAGTAGTTGTTGAGAGCCAGATCGGTAGTATATGTATAATAGGTGAAAAAACAAAAGGACAATATGGTCAATTTTATAATTTCTGTAATCCTTTTATAAAATGATGCATTCATTGTCTCGGTGAAAGAAAATTTTTTGTTCCTTAATTTGGAGTAGTTTCAATATATATTTATAGTGAGTTGAATAAAAACTTCGAATAGGTTTTTATGATCATAAACAATTCAAACTTTTACATAACTTTAAAGAATTGATAGACCATGGGATATGACAAGAAGTATCGTAGACGGCTTTGATTGATTCGTATGAAATTCAAGATATTTATGTAAGTAGCGAATGTATACGTATCATTCGGTTAAGTTTTTATTCAAACTAAATAGTAATAGAGTCCAGAGTTAAATGTAATTTTTATATTATTAACCTTTCTTCAACAATAACTCAAAATGAGTAATTAATTTTTTAATCATTAAATCATTTTGTTATTCAAACAGTAATATAAAGAATGGTTACTGTAGTTTTGCGCTCTTTTTACCGCAAAAGGTATTTCTGCATACCATGAAGGCATGTAATGCACACAGTCAAATCACAATTATAACAAAAATTTTTCACATAATATCTTAAATTTGATTCTAGTCAATTTCAAAATATTAACATAATTGGATATTTGTCATATTACATATAATTTGGTGCTATCAGATAGTAAATTCTTAAATAACTTCATTGATGATTATTATCTTCTTCTTAAAGTTAGCGTGGAATAAGCAACAATTTTGTCAAAATGCAATCTAATGCAATGCAGTTTATGCGTTTAAGTCAGATATGGATACTTTTGGATACACTTAATAAGTCGAAGACGAAGAAAGTGCTAGTGAGGGAAATTTCTTTCAAAATCAAGGTAAAGATTTGTTTACATTTATTTTTTTGTTATTTTGCATTAAATAGTTTTAATTAAAAATAATTTTATCTTATATTTTAAAAATTTTTTCCAGTTACCACAAAGAGAAGTGCGACTAGCACTAAGTTCACTGGATGAAATTCAAAATATCAATGCTTATAAAGAATTTTTTGCGAATTTGAGCTGTACTAAATTTAAACGAAAACGCAAACGTAAGCCACTTGCAGATTGCAAAACCTGTAAAGCCGAAAAGGAAAATTGCAGAGAGAAACTGAAAAAGTGACAGAAAACTATTTCAAAAACAAACGTTAAATCTAAGAGCTCAGAATCAATCAAGTTGGAGAAAAAATAAATATGGACTCACAAAGCAACTTGTAACTAAAGTAGGAAATCGTAGACGTAGAGATCGGAACACGGTTAATGAGAAATTGATCCAGAAATACAAGCAAATAAAGATACGTAAGCCGAAAAATTGCATCCAATGAATCGAGTGACAATTTTTGCAAGTGTCAAGGACTGACATTAAGCGAAGTAATATTTACTACAACTGATAATGAAATGATAGAACCTATTAAAGCCAAACGCCTTAAACTCAATGTATTAGAGAAAGCAGTAACATCCATCAGCAATTGCAATACTAATATTTACGAAAGACAAATTTTAAGTGAAATGAATCTTGAAGGAGAGGACGTCATGGAGCAACATTTTACTCAAAACCATAAAATTAAAAATTTTGGAACATACGATGTTGATGCGAAAATAGGTATAGATATGAAATCGTACTACAGTTTCTCAAAGAATATTCAGACCAGTATGAAAGAAGATACGCTAAAAACTAAACGCTTAATAAAAGTAAACCTATAATGGTTGAAAGCATAGATAATTCCAAAAATTTCTTTGTGCAAAAACGTATTGAAGAACAATTCTAAATCAATTACGATAAATATAAACGATTATAAACGATACTATTATATTATAAATATATGAATATATAAGTATATAAATATGAAAGCGTTGAATTTACAAAGTTACTATTTGTACTATTAATTACAGCACCAGTAAATAGTAAAGTAGTAGTATAGGTCAATTTGCAGCTTACTCGTGCAATAACAATTATATCAGGTTTGATCCTCTAACTTAGCATATTTGAATTATTAAAATTTTAATCATCTATCAACTGAGTTCCATAAAAACATATTTTTAAAGAATACTATTATAGATTAACTCAGGAACAATTGGCATTTCTTAGTTTACTAAAGAACAATTTATCAATGACTTAATTAATTCCTTTAATTAAGTATCGGATATTCCTAACTAAAACAGTCTATAAATCATCAATATATATTTTTTATTTTGAAATAAGTTAATAATAAAATAGACAACAAAAAAATTACATTCAATCATATGAATCGAACTCTTTTGTAGAATCCATATTAACTAAACTTCAAAGCTATAGACTTAATACTTAATGCAATAAAATTTTTTTCACATCTACAAAATTATGCTTACAAACATGTCATTCATAATTAATCTAAAATCAAATTTAAGTAGTTCCCACTTTCCAACAATAATTTGTATTTGTCTTATCAAATAATTGTCAAATAATGAATCCAATCTATCATCAATTGAAAAGATGTATGAAAAACAGAACCCTACGACATTGCAAAGTGAAATAACAGATAACAAATATATTACTTTACGATATCCTGCTGTCACTTCTATAATAACAATACTTTTTTTATATACAATGTAAAAAACATTAATTTTATTTTGTCTTTCAATACAATTATGTATTAGAATTGTAGAAGATATGTTGAACAGAGTGAAGGTAAGAGTAGGTACCTATTAAAATTTTAAACATCTTCACCAGCTCAGCATTATATATCAATCTAGTCTAACTTTCTCATTTTTTGAAATGCAAATTATATTTAAAGGTTAGGGGGTTAGGGGGTTAGGGCCTGAGACTGCAGCTTGCATATATGTCAAAATAACCAAGGACAATTGACTACATCTAGTGACGTCATATAAATTGAACGTTAAAAGTGCAGTTTTGTATTATATACATATATCTC